AAGCAAATTATGTAAATGTATTGAAACCCTTCATCTGTAAATGGGCTGATGCCCACCACCCACATTGCTGCTGTTGTCTCCTCTCAGTGAAGAAGTTGTACATGAGCGGGAGGTCGTGCAGGTGAGGGAGAGAGGTCGTGAAGGGCACACACAGGGCTTGTGACAATCACCAGCTGATTGACAGGTGTGGTGGGACAGGGACAGACAGAGGACATGAAAGGCTGCCTCTGGGGTTGAGAGGACCAGAAACATCAATGCTGACTCCTGCTGGAGATGCTGTTGGGTGCAGTTGGAAGAAAACCTCCCAAGAGATAAGACTCTGAGTTTCACTGCAGCCTGGGGCTGTGGACAGGAAATCAGTGGCTACTGTTAATGGCCTGGGGGAGGAGGTGAGGGTCCAACCCCAGGGCTGCTACTGGGAAGTGATTGCTCTGAAACAAAGGCTGTCTCCTCCATGATAAGGGCGTCTGAAGGGGGCCCTGGACACTGCTCTGGTCCTAGCTCAGTGTCCAGAGAGCTGCTCAGTGACTCGGGGACAGCTGAGCACATGGCCGGCCAAGTCTGGCCACGTGAAAGGAAGAGGGCCCCAGGCAGGGCAGGCAGGGCAACCTCTCCATCAGTCTCGGGATCACAGAGTCTCGTCCGAATGCTCTTCTACCCGAGTCAGGGGGGTGACTGGCCCCACAACACCACGGGGGCCCGGGCAGCTGCTGTTTCCTGTGGGTCTTCATAGCCATGGCTGAAATGTCAGTGAGGAATGTGGATACTTTTTGGCCTGGCATCTGCCACTGTGCCCCTCATTCCTGCTTCCCAGACACAGTGCGGAGCTCCTAACAGACACCTTCTGCAGGACTGGTTCATCCGGGTTTTCCCAACAGAGCCCTCGCTGCATCTTAGTTTTTAGTCTCACCTTTGGAAGGAAAACCCATCCCTCTGCAGAACTGCTTTTGGATCAGCTTGTGTTTGCTGAGGACAAGCATTTCCCGAGGGGAACAGCACCCCGCTATGGGCAGCTGTGTCTGCCCCTCCTGCCTCCAAAGCACCTGCTTGCTTAATCCCAGGGAGACCAACCAGACACCCGACATCACTCTGTCCCCGACACTGTCTCTGACAGCCTCAAACAAAACCAGAAGGGAGCTGCCATCGAGGGCATGGCCAGGCAACAGGCCGGCCAGCAGCGGCTTCAGGAGGGGCTTCCTGGCCACACCGTCTACTCCCCACACGGGCCTACACCCACGAGCCACAGCATCCGAGCTGCCCCTACTTCCGGTGGCCACATTCCTCATCCCCAAGTAAGAAAGAACCAAGAATGAGACCTCAAGGAGCTAAGGTCACCAGGGCTGTGATGGCCCAGGATGGGAGGCCCCCAGCCTTGCCAGAAGCCACAGCAGGCGGGTGACCATGAGATGAGGCGTCAGGAGCACCAAAGAGCCGGCCTGTGGGAATGGGGACAATGGCACATCCTGTGAGAGCCTGGTGTGCAGGCAGGACCTGCCCCCTCCAGGAGGCGGCCCAGTGGCACCTGTGCACCAAAATCTGATGCATGTTTGACAAAAAAGTGAAAAGATTTTTTTTTACTTGTGAATTTATTTATTTGAGATGTTTTAAGACGTTTGAGGAATCATATGTTCATGAGTCAGTTTTATGACAACAGTCGAATTTTATGAAATCAGAAACATGAGTGGCGTCCCCTCCTCTGTGGCCCCCTTCCAGGTGCTGAGAGGGGCGGGGAGACAGACAGGTGGACAGAATGGCACTGTGTCTGGGAAGATGCCAGGAGCCAGGAAGATACCAGACTCAGGCAATGGGACTAGGGAGTGAGAGGGATGACAAGGGTCTTCCCCCACAGCCCTGAGGAACTCAGAAGGAGCTCCCTCAGCACAGAGGGTGCACTCCCAGGTGCTGTGGCAAGAAAACTGGGGTTCATGGGGCTGTGCTCCACCCCAGAGGCTCCAGGAAGCCTGGTCCCTTGCTTGTGGGCGCTGGCAGCATCCTCTCCTTAGGGAACTGTTCCCTTCCATGTCCCTGACAAAGCCACTCCCAGCTTCCAGGGGCCCTAGAAAAACTTGGCCTGGGGTCCCTTCATCCAGCCTCAACTGGTTACCTTGGGCCCCCTGGCTGACCCAGGACAGTTGCTAGGATACCTCTATGACCTGTCTTACCATTGTGACCTGTGTTACTTCTGTGACCTGTTGCCACCTGATACCAAACAGTGCTGGGCTGGGGCCGCTGCAGGGACTCCCCAGCAGTGGCAGGGAAGGGCTCCCCAAGACCTTGTCATACTTAAAGTGAGATTTGGCTATTGAGACACAGCTGGCCCCATGGAGAACTGGGGAAGCCACCCCCAAAGCAACAGCAAGTGGCCCCAGCAGGGGACAGCCAGGCTGGCCAGGGTGCAGGGCAGGGGGCAGGGCGGCTACAGGGCCTCTGGTGGGTGGAAGAGGCCATCACAGCCATGAAGGCTGTAGGCACGACAACGGCATCATGTGGTTTATATTTTTCAAGACCACCCGGGATTTGACATTTAAATGACATCTGAGATCTGTTGTGAGAGCACAGGTCCAGGGGAGACAGATAAGGAGGGTGAGACGTGTGCTTCGGGTGCAGATGGCGGGCACGGCCCGCGGCCCGGAGGCAGGAGACGTGAAGATGGAGACCATGGTGCAGGCCCCAAGGAGACCTGTGAGTGACGGGACAGGGACAGGACACAGAAGACCCACCAAGGAGGAGAGAGTGGAGGGGGGACAGGGGACCCGCCATGGAGGGGGCAGGGCAGGGGGATAGGGACCCTCCATGGAGGGGGAGGGGAGGGGACAGGGACCCTCCATGGAGGGGGGGGGGAGGGGACAGGGACCCTCCATGGAGGGGGAGGGATGGGATAGGGACCCTCCATGGAGGTGGGGAGGGGAGGGGACAGGGACCCTCCATGGAGGGTGAGGGGAGGGGAGGGGGATAGGGTCCCTCCATGGAGGCTGAGGGAGGGGGGGTTAGGGACCCTCCATGGAGAGGGGAGGGGGATATGGACCCTCTGTGGAGGGGGAGGGGGATAGGGACCCTCCGTGGAGGGGGGAGGGGGATAGGAACCCTGCATGGAGGGGGGAGGGGGATAGGAACCCTCCATGGTGGGGGGAGGGGGATAGGGACCCTCCGTGGAGGGGGAGGGGGAGGGGGACAGGGGACCCTCCATGGAGGTTGGGAGGGCAGGGGAGAGGGGACCCTCCATGGAGGGCAGGGGACAGGGGACCCTCCATGGAGGTGGGAGAGCAGGGGACAGGGAACCCTCCATGGAGGTAGGGCACAGGGGAGCCTCCATGGAGGAGGGGAGGACAGGGGACAGGGGACCCTCCATGGAGGTGGGAGAGCAGGGGACAGGGAACCCTCCATGGAGGTGGGAGGGCAGGGAGGAGGGGACCCTCCATGGAGGTAGGGGACAGGGGACCCTCCATGGAGGTAGGGGACAGGGGACCCTCCATGGAGGAGGGGAGGGCAGGGGACAGGGGACCCTCCATGGAGGTGGGAGAGCAGGGGACAGGGAACCCTCCATGGAGGTGGGAGGGCAGGGAGGAGGGGACCCTCCATGGAGGTGGGGAGGGCAGGGGACAGGGGGACCCTCCATGGAGGTGGGGAGGGCAGGGGACAGGGGACCCTCCATGGAGGTGGGGAGGGCAGGGGACAGGGGACCCTCCATGGAGGTGGGGAGGGCAGGGGACAGGGGACCCTCCATGGAGGTGGGAGAGCAGGGGACAGGGAACCCTCCATGGAGGTAGGGCACAGGGGACCCTCCATGGAGGGGGGAAGGCAGGGGGACAGGGGGACCCTCCATGAAAGGGTGAGAGCTGGAGAGAAAGGGGAGGAGGGACAGGTGACAGGGAAACCAGCCCCCCTTTTATGGACAGTCCCCTATCCCCCCCTTCTTTACCCCTGTCTCTGCTCCCCCTGTCCCCCCACCCTTTCCTTCCTGGCCTCTCATGTCCCCCCTTCCTTGTCCCTCCTAAGGTCCCTGTCCTGTCCCTTTCTCTGTCCCCTGTCCCCTCCCATTCCCTCCTGCTGGGCCTTCTGTGTTCCTGTCCCCTCCCCTCGCTCATGGGCCTCTGCGGGGCCTGTGCTGGGCCTCCAGTCTCCACCTCTCCTGCCTCCCAGCCACGTGCCCGCCCTCTGTGCCTGAACCACACCTCACCCTGTGCATCTGTCTACACGAGCGATTTTCCACGGGTGTGCCCGGTCCCCAGGGGGCGCGGCACCGAACTGTGCAGGCTGGGCACAGGCCTGTCCCCTTACAGTGCCCGACAAGTATGACACCCTGGCTTCAAGTTGGGGCCTAAAGAAATGCTGCTTGGCCGTTTCAGATCTTAGAAAACGGAAAGCACAATTCCTTAGAAAGAAGCACCTGAGAAAAAAGGAAAAAGAGAAAAAAGAAAGACAGAAAGAGGAAAACATGGCAATAGCCTTGGAAAGAAGGCAGTGCCCTGAATCAACAGTCAGGTGTGGGGTGTTTTAAAAACTGCTGCGCCACACGAGTGGGCCGAGGCACATGTGTTGGAAATCGCAGCTCCATGGCCTGTGCCCTCGACACGCATCTCAAACATCATTTTAAATGTCAAATCACCGGGTGACCTCCAGGGGGTGGGGGGAGGGGAGAAGGGGGTCCAGGGGGAGGCAATGGTGATGGAAGGAGACTTGACTTGGGGGTGAACAGACAGTGCAATATACACATGAGGTTCTATGCAACTGTGCTGCTGAAAACCAAATCCTTGTGTGAACCAGGGGCACCCCAGTGAGATAAATCACAAATAAATAAAAGGTGGGGCCTTTGAGGGGAGAGCCCTTGTGAATAGGATGCACACCCAGTTGAAAGACACCCCTACTAGACTTACTGGAGAGATCACTCTGTAACCTTAAAATGTCTAACCACTACATGGTGCACCTGAATCTAAATCTAGATGTCAACTCTAATGGAAAAAATTTAGATTATTAAAAATACATAGAAATATAATGCAGAGTGACCTTTAAAAAGTATAAATCAGATCATGTCAGTGTCGTGTCTAAAGGCCTTGCTGCCTCCAGCAGCCGTCAGCAGTGCAGACGGACCCACTGCTGGGACAGACTCACACAGCTGGGAGAGAAGTGGCCCATCTCCTCCCCCGTGGGGCCTCTGTCCTGTCCGGGTGGCCTCTTGTGCTGGTGCAGGCAGAGCTGGGCTGCCCTGAGAGGGGGCTAAGCATTCACTCGGCTGCTTCGTTCTAGAGTGGGAACAGACACAGAACAAAATTTTAAAAACCCTTCATGATTCCAACAGCAGTTTTACCCCACGCAAAGGATCCTTAGCCACCCACTCACCCACCCTCCCATGCACCCCAGCCGCCTGGCTCACCCAGCCCTTAGGGAGAGGCTGGGAGGAGACTGCCCGGGCAGCCGGTTACCACGCATCTGGGCGGACATCTGAACACAACTGCACTTCTCTTAAGAAGCAAATGGAGGGAGGCATCTGCTAGGATCCGCACATACGAGGGGACAAACCTCTTCATGACACAGTGACAGGGTCACAGCCCCATGACCCCAGCATGCTCTCGTCCCACCACCACATCCCAAGGACCCAGGATTCACCCACAGCTGGAAGGAGCTCCCTGGCCTCTGAGAACCTAGGGCCCCTCTGCAGAGCCCTTCCACATGGCTGCTTCACGGGACTGCGGGGCCTGGACTCCTGAAGTGCGGGCATGTGGCCTACTTGGACTTTTTAATTCCACTCTGGCAGAGAAAGCCAGGCCTGGGCCTCACATCCTTCACTGCTGCAGCTGCTGTGAGGAACAGCATGGAGGTTCCCCCGCAACACAATGAAAACCCCAGAACTAAAGAACTGAAGGCGCATCTGGAAGAGATGCGTGCACAGCCTTGTTCACAGCGGCGTTTCCCACAGTGGCCAAACGTGGACGCAACTCAAGGGTTCCACTGACAGGTGAATGAGTAAATTCAACGTGGCCGATGGATAAAACAGAATATTATTCCTCCTTAAAGGAAGGACATCTCGAGAGATCCAATATGGCAGAGGAGCAATTGCATATCACGCTTGCCTCCTTTCAGGACCAAAATGCAGTTACAATTAAAACCAGAACAACCAACTGAAGACCAGCTGAAGAGAAGTCTTATAACCAAGGATTTCAAGAGGCCGCCACAGGGAGGCCGGTCCGAAGTGCAGAGACACGAAAAGGGGACACGCCCCGCACCTCCCCACTCCCGGCTCCCAGCTGTCCTGCCCCAGTGACCTTGGCCTCCCAGCAGAGTCTTGGACTGACTCAGGGCCCTCAGGACCCACACAAGGGACGTTCCTGGAGCACCCGACTCAGGCGATCAGGAGACTGTACCACTGGGTCCCACGGGACACCCACACCATGAGGCCGCACTGCCAACACTGGGGATCGTGGCAGATCTACCTAATACACAGAAACAAACACAGAGAGGCGGCCAAAGCGGGGACACAGAGCAGCAGCCCCAAGTGGAAAACAGAAGGAATCTCCAGAGAAACAGCCAAATGCAGTGCACGCCGGAACTCAACCAGAGAGAATCCACAGCAACAGAGCCCAAGGATACTCCCAAAACTGAGGGGAACAGCGGACGCAATTAGTGAGGGCTGACACAAAAAGATAGTAAGCATGAAAAAGGACAGAGAAGCAGTAAAAAAAAATAAGTTAGAAGTGAAGGACATAACATCTGAAATGAATATAGTAGAAGGAATAAGTGGTTGGATGAAGGAGAGGATCAAACCAGCGATTTGGAAGTCAAGATGGCAGGAAACACAACCAGAACAGAGAAAAATATTTAAAAATGAAAACAGTTGAAGAGACCTGTGGGACGACATGAGGTGTAACAACACCCACATCACAGTGGCACCAGGGGAGGAAGAGGAAGAGACGGGACAGACACCTATTGGAGGTGATCATGACTAAACACTTCCCTACCCTGGCTCTGGCCGGGTGGGCCAGTTCGTTGGAGGGTCTTCCACAAAGCTGATGGGTTGGGTCCCCAGTTGGGGCTCACACAGGAGGCAACCGATCCATGTTCTTCTCTCCCCGTTCTTCTCTGTAAGCATGTCTTCAGGTAAGGAAAAAAAAAAAGCCCTGGCTGGTTTGGCTCAGTGGACTCAGTGCCAGCCTGTGGACCCAAAGGTCACTGGTTCAATTCCCAGTCAAGGCACATGCCTGGGTTGGGGCCAGGTCCACTGTTGGGGACATGCACAGGCAACTGATGGATGTATCTCTTGCACATCGATGTTTCTCCTCTTCTTTTCCTCTCTCCCTTCCTCTTGCTCTTAAAATAAGTACAGAAAATATATTTTTTAAACTCCCTAATCTGGAGAAGGAAAAAGATACACAAGGCCAAAAGCACAGAGAGTCCCAAACAAGTGAACCCAAAGAGGCTCCCACCAAGACACATCATATTTAAGGGAACAAAGATGAAAGATAAAGAGAATCTTAAGAGCAGCAAGAGACACAGCCCTACCTACAGGGCGGCTCCTGTAAGTCTGTCAGCTGATTTCTCAGCAGACATTTCAGGCAAGAAGGGTTGGCCCATAATAGTCCAAGGGATGAAAAGCAAGGACCTCCAACCAAGACTACTCCACCCAGCAAGGCTGTCATTTAACACTGAAGGAGACTTGCCTTGGCTGGGAGCTCAGTTGGTTAGAGTGTCGTGCCACTATGACAAGGTTGCAGGTCTCATCCCTGTTCAGGGCACGTACCAGAAGCAACTAATGAATGCATCAATACGTGGAACAACAGATTGATGTTTCTCTCTCTCTCTCCCTTCTCTCTATCTAAATCACTTAAAAGAAAAAGAAAAAAAACACAGAACCCAAATAAAATCAGACATGAAAGAGAAGTAACAACCGACTCCACAGAAATACAAAGCCATATAAAGAAACAGTACAAACAACTACAAGCCAACACAGTGGATAATCTGTACAAAATGGGTGAAGTCCTGTAAACACACCACCTTTCCAACTGAATCGGGAAGAAGAGGAAATTCTGAATAGACCAACTCAATAGACCAATGAATAAAATTGAAGTAGTAACAAGAAGCAAAAGTCCTGAACCAGATGGCTTCACAGGTGAATTCTACCAAACACTCAAAGAAGTCTTTGAACTAACACCTGTCTTTCTCAAACTATTCCAAGAAACTCCAGAGGAGGGAAGACTCCCAAGCTGCTTTTACAAGGCTAGCATTGTGCTAATTCCAAAATCAGATAAAGACACGACAAAGAAAGAAAATTATAGGCAATATCCCTGATGAGCACAGACGCTCAAATTCTCAGCAAAATTTGAGCCAACCAGATCCAGCAACATGTATAAGATTCTACACCACAATCAAGTGGACTTAACAAAGCTCCTTGCAGTCCAAGGATGCAAGGTTGGTGTGATATCCACAAATCAATAACTGTGATACACCATATGAACAAAATGAAGGGTGAAAATCACCTGATCATATCGACAGATGAAGGAAGAGCATTTGATAAAATTGAGCACTTGTGACAAAGAACTCTCAGCAACGGGGATGAAGGGGACACACCTCAACACAAAGGCCACTTAGGACAACCTCATGGCCAACATCATACTCAACAGGCAACAGCTGAAAGCGTCTCCCTTAAGACTGGGGGCAAGACAGGGATGCCTGCACTCACCACCCTCATCCAACACAGCGCTGGGGTCCTCGTGGCAGCAGCCGGACAAGGGGACAAGGGCGTCCACATCGCAAAGGAGGAAGTGACACTGTCACTATTTGCAGGTTCTGTACACAGAGACCCTCAAGGTGCACCAAATGCTCCTAGAACTGACATGAATCTGGTAAAGTAGCAGGACACAAAATAAACACCCTGAAATCAGCTGCATTTTCAATGCACCAAGAACGAACCACCAAAAGGGTGGTTCTCTTACTTAAGAGAACAATTCCATTTACAGCTGCATCAAAAAAAAAACAAAAAAAACCCTAGGAGTAAACTTTACCGAGTACATTAAAGACCTTCTGGGCACCTCGGCTGGGTTGTGAAGGATGTCAAGGAGCAGTGCCTGTGAGTGATGCTCCTCAAGGATGTGCGATGATCGAGCGGCACCGTCGGTGGAATGAGTGCTTTTTAATCATCGGCAGATCACAGCTGCAGACGTGATACTTACACTGTCCAGGTAAGGGGTGATTAATAATTTTCTTCTATGTACTTGGCAGAAGGGTATTCAGAATGAGGTAATGATGATACCTCATCTTCATAGGCGCTCTCCTTCCACAGGTGGCTTCGATTTATCTTCCAACGTGGCAGAGAAGAGGGACAAGCAATGCTGGTGGGTGGAATCGACACACCCCATTCAGCCAGGGGCTAAATGAAGATGAGGGACACAAAGTGACTCATCAAAAGTCTGACACTTACTCAGCAGTCAAGCCAGGGAGAGTCTAATTGCCCATCAGAGACTCTGCCCATGAAAGTCATAATGGTAAGTGGTCCTAACTAACTTTTCAGCATTTGAGCTCGGTGAAATCTACTTGGTCCTTGTGTCCCACGATTTGGGCCAGGGAGCCACCACGGCTCATCCTCTCCACACAGGGACTCAGGGACCCAGGGCTTCTCTGCTGTGTGGTTCCTCCAAGTGCCCCGGAGGCTTCCTGTCCCTCCAAATTCAGCTGGCAAGGAGCACAGACCAGTGGTGTGCAGGACAGACGGACAGGTGGTGTCGGGAAGGCCTGGGAGGAGCCACGACGGCTGGTCCCGCCTCTGTCCTGACCTGAACTGACTGGTGAGAGGGACTCAGACACAGAGCAGCACGAACAGGGTGCGTCTGGGCACAGGGACGGCACGCCCACCTTCCGGTCCAGGTGCGTGTGCAGCCAACTCCATGCACCCTCTTCAGGAAGAGCAACCAGAGGAGAAGAAAATAGAAGTGCATCCTGCCAATCAACACAGCACTTCAGAGGACTGTGAGTAAAGACAACACCAGGCACTGATTTCTGCACAGCAGAAAGTCCACCTGCTGTTCACTCACTCTCTTCCTCCCCTGTGTTCCTTTAAAGACACCACATCGTTCTGAACCCACCAGCATGGAGCAGGTCCACAGCCAGCCGCCCCCTCACTGATGACAACCAAGAGCTCAGGACAGAATAGAGAAGCCGGTGTCCATGGATTCTGGAGCGAAGCAGCAGTGTGCAGACTAGGGACGGAAGTCAGGACTGGACGAGTGACCAGCATGGCAGTGACCTGGTGGGTCCCCACCTGCACCTAAGCTCTGTCCTGAAGGAGGTGAGTCTAGGCACTGCTCCATGAGCAGGGTGGGGAGGACGCAGAAAGGACTGGACAGGAGCCTGGCAGAGCCACAGTGGGGGCTGCTGGGCACCCTTCCCCCTCCTCCTCTCCTGGCCCTGCTGCTGCCCTCAAGGTGCAGCCATGGCCAGGGAAGAAGCTCCTGAAATGCAAAGGAAAACCCTGTCTCTGGCGAGGACCTCAGAAAATGGGCTTTGTGCTACACAATTTGGGGAATCCCGCTTATTTTCTCTCTCTTTTTTCCTCTTGCCAGTTAGCCCTGAAAACCACCCAGTTCTGTGAAGGGTCCACGCAGTGCATGAAGAGCTTCTGAGAGAAACCAGAGCTTCCCACTAAAGGACAGGGAAGGTGGCAGAATCCAGGACAAGATGTGCTGAGGGTGAGCTGGGGCTATGAGAGCGCACCCTGGAGGCCACCTCGGGCTCTGCGCCACGCTGGTGCTGAGGTCAGCCCTGCAGACACTGTGACAGGACTCACAGACTTAATAGGTGGTGTCACCCTCTGCTGTGTAGTGGTGAGGAGACAGACTCCACAACCCCGTTGGAAAGGAGAAAGGGCAGCACATCCATAGGCAGCTTCATCCGAAGTTCGGAGGGAGAATCTGATTGAATGTGAACAGGCACAGAGGTCAAGCAGAAGAAGGCCAGAGTCCTGGAGCCCGGCCTGCAGCCCCACCCCACCCCGCCCTGCCCTGGATTTTAGATTGGAGAACAAGCTCATTTTGGCAAATAAATTGATTTTTCTTTTGTGCTTTCAGTTTTTCCTGTTGCCTATGTTATGGACTAAATTTCTTCTCTGAAAAGTAAACATAAGCAAGTGAAGAGCAGCTCTCAGGAGCCCCCGTCTGCTAGGGAAGTGCTGATCCAGCAGGCGCACAGGCCCAGCCTGACCTCAGCGCCAGGGAGACCAGGCGCAGTTTGGTGCCCCTCAGTGGGTGTGCCTGGTGGGGTCGGGCTGTGCCTGCCGATGGCCCAGCAGTCCTCCCAGTTCTGATGGAAAACGTGGAGACACCATGACCAAATCCACGATACAACCAAGGCATGGCACCTGATTTTAAGTCACACGGGATACACTTGGTTGCCTTTGGGGGCAAGCGGTGGGTGTGAGTAACAGGCCTCCACCAGGAACTGCCCCCCAAACGCTATGCCTTCCATGACACATGAGACAGTTCACCATCAAATCACACTCAGGACTAGGGCGTCAGAACTAACGCCTGCGAGGCCGTATGGTCCCTTCTCTGCCCGTGGTCCCAGTCACCCTACTCTATGTTGTACCTACTTCTACAGACCACCTCACCTGCCCAGAGGTGGGCAGGACGCAGAGACAGGGAAAGAGAAGCGGGGAGGTTTCCCCTCCGCAGGAGACCTGGACAGCCGAGCATTTGCAGGGGGAGAGAGTCCGCGCCATCTGAGGCATTTAGAGTGTGGCAAATGTGACCACCAGGGCACAAAAACCTCCTACTCCTCCCAGGTTTGCTGGCCTCCGCTCCCCCTCCGTGAGACCCCTGCTGTATACACTGGTCACTTTGTGGGTATAAGCGTCACGCGCCTACAGGGGTAGGAAGTACCAGACAAAATGAGCTCAAATTCAAGGAAAAATAATAACCATCCTCACAGGTGTGTTTGGGAAGTCAGCCCACCTCTGACTACACACAGGTCTCACTTGAGAACATTTGAACACTATCACTTCATAGGAATTCCTTTGACTTTATCACCTTTACCCCTGCCTGCTGTCAAACAACCAGAGAAATACGCCCGGTCTTCACCGTGGGGCACTTCCCTGGGGGTACTAGAGTGGGAGCCGAACCTGAGGAACTGCAGGGACAGGCAGGAGGCAGCCCCCTGGCACCGGACGGCCCCGGGTGTGAGGGACTAAATGCTTTCATTAAGAGACCCTCCACCCTGCCCAGTGCCACCCTGATGTCCTCTACCACAGTCGCTGAATTTACCATTGGAGGCACTTGAAGTGGACTGCAGCTTACCTCGCACTATGGATTCAGCCGAATTTCACTCCATTCACCCCCACTCTGCTCTGCAGATTCAGGTCTATTCTTCAGCTGGTTCCAAGGCAGCGAATCAGAATTCTTTCTTTTATAACGAGAAAAAATTACTTTAGCCACAGAGCAAAAGAGAATAAATGAGAATTCTGTTTCACCTCCAGAAGGGACAGACAAGGGGGAAGGTACTGATTTACATACATGAACAGTTTATGTTATGCCGGGTGCTGGTTCTGTGATTATACTTTTAAAGTTAGGAAACACTTTGGCCCCTGAAATGGCCAGGGACAGGCTCAGCCAATGGAAATCTCCAGAGTGTTCACTCGGCTGCCTCGCACAGAGCAGAGGAACATGCCTGAAGTCGATGTTTTATTGAACCACTTTATTGGCTTTTTCTGAGTCTTGGGCATAATCACCAACATCAATGGTGAACATTTAGATACTTTTTCGATTTCCAGGGAGGTGGGCACCCTAACCCCAGCGTGCTCAGGAGTCAAGGGCACCCATGGAAACAGCCTTTCAAAGAGGTGCCATTTCCTGAGGTTCTGGGTGCAGCCCAGCAGCTGTCTCTCCCCACCAATCACAACAGTCAGCCTGACAGCACCATTATACACGGAGGTACTATTATCGCTGCTGTACACATGAAGAAACAGGCAGGCAGAGGGTCAGTCACTTGCCAAAAGGCAGGCAGAAACCCCAAACCCAGCTGTGACTCGGACCCCAAGGTCTCTCTGAACTGCAGTGTCGAACGGAATTTACACCATGACCCTGAGGGGAGGCGGAGCAAATTCTCTCCCCAGATGCCCAGGAAGAAACTTGCTCAGAAAACTTGCACAATGAGGACGAATCCACTTCTCTCTCTCCCGGGTGCCCCACCCTCTGGTGGCAGGTGCTCTGGGACACTGCCATCCCACAGAGGGCCACACTGAGGACAGGGCCTTTCTGAACTGGCATGTGTCTCACGCACAAGGAGGGAGGTTTAAAGATAAAGATTTTGGCCCTCGCTGGTATGGCTCACTGGACTGAGAGCTGGCCTGAGAAGCAAGGGGATGCTGCTTCGGTTCAATTCCCAGTCAGGGCACAGGCCTTGGGTTACAAGCCAAGTCCCTGGTGTGGGGCAGGCAAGAGGCAACCACACATTGATGTTTCTCTCCCTCTTTTTCTCCGTCCCTTCTCCTCTAAAAATAAATAAATATAAAGATATAGATTTTGCATGATGGCACATAGGTGTCAAACAGAACATCTCTCTGAAGGCTGGCCTGTTTGCTACTCTGGCCACTGGGTGGGGACAGTGTGAAGGAGAGTTTCGAAGAGCTGGACAGGAGGGTGGCTGGCCCAGCAGCACCACCACAGCTTGGGCCCTGTGCCTCCAAGACGCACACTCGTTGTGCGTCACCATCTTCGGTGGTGAGTTAAGTGGCCAGGCTCCTGTCCAGATCCCCACAGGTGACTGCCTCGGGGTACCTGTGACGGACCCCGCCTGTGCTGCAGCATCCCTTCCACAACCACAGTGTGCCCTTGGCCCCCTTGAACTTTTACATCCTCTCCCTTCCCTTAACAACAATACAGTTGAAGTTTAAATAAAGCAGCAACCAACACTCTTTCTTCCATTTGGTCACAGCCAACCTGTTGAACATTTCACAAGGAGCACACTGTTAACAGTTCCAAAGCAGGAGGCAGGAAGGTCGCATGGATTTGTCTCTGCAGCAGGAGGACAATGCGGCCTGACTGTCATGAAGACAGAGAGCTCTGGGCTGCGGGGCCGAGAGGCTCAGTACCCTCTGACTCTCTGCAGCTGCCACTGAAATGGGGTCTGTGCTGGGCTCCGGGAGCACCCGAGTCCCCCAGACTCCTGCACAGCAGCTGAGCTTGTCTTACTCAGCCTGGGCCTGGGCTCCAAGGTCAGCCCTGGATCCTTCCAGAGGCTGCGGGCGGGAGTCTCATGTGCTGTAGGGGCGTGAGGAGCTGGGAGGAGGGGCAGAGACCTCAGCCTCCCTTCTCTGGCCGCCTCCCAGAGGCCCCGGGAGGCTCTGGGGTTCCCAGACTCAGGTTCTGACCCCTGGATGTGAACACCCTTGCTGACACCCTCCTCCGCTGTTTTAAACAAACATGTTAAATCACTAAACTGGGAGTCCTTCCCGAGAGGACAAGGTTTCATTGGCTTGCTATCCCTAGTACTTCCCATACACCTGAAGCCCAATATGCTGAAGGAATAGCTTCAAATACTACTTGACCGTGACCCCGTGGGACAGGGCACACATGGTCTATAAAACTCATCCTATAACATGTTAGTAGATTCCATTAAACGTTTCTTAGTTAACTATCCCATCACCCATCTAAAGCCTCAGCCAAAAACAAAGATTGCTCAACACACTGCATACAGCGGGCACGTGATTTACTTTGCGTGTCTGCCAAAATCTGTAACAGTGGGCACTGACTACATCGGTCCCTGATGCAAATCGAAACATTACAGGGTAGAGGTGTTTCTTGTTTTAATGTCCAAAGTAACGGGAACACTATGTACACCAAGGGCCTCCACGTAAAATAGTAGGTAAAATTAACAAGCCCCCGCCCACGGTATCGCTTCAGTTTTAAAACCGTAACAATATGAATTTTAGGACTGAAGCTGTCTGTTTGTAAACTGCCTAACCTCAGGATGGAGCAAACACTGCATTTAGGTATTTCAGCTTCACAAACCATTGGAGTGAGTTAAATATTTTATTTATTTATTAAACTTTGAGGGCAGAAGATACAGCCACATTTTAATGTTTACAAAGAAGTTGATTTTTACCCAAAGAAAACTGGCTTTTCATACCTGGGAAGTTACTTGTTCAATTTGAGTCAAAGTGACAGCATGTGCTACACATCTGTATTACTGAGTCTATGAAACAGATATTTGATACCAAATACAAAGAACACACAATTGATTTTTTAAAGATAATGCTAAATTTACTATTTTAGACACACTCTTTCTCTCTAAAAGTCTATAAAATCACCTTTAATTACTAACCTGTTCCTCACCCTCAATATAGTCAATGAAAATCACAATTGGATTAGAGTCTGAGGTTTAAAAAGAAAAAGTAAGACATTTACTAAAGTTTCCTTTATTTTTCAGCTTCTTAGCCAATCCCTAATCAATCATGGTCCAGATGTTTTTCTTAACAGAACCCTACACACATCATTATAATTCAAAAACAATAGTCTAATGTTAAAATAATAGTGGAACCGCTGGTTCACTTTGAATTCAACAGCTTTCCAGTTTTGTTACGAAAATAATTTTTTAAAAAATGTATTTGTGCCCTGGCTGGTGTGGCTCAGTGGATTGAGTGCAGGCCTGTGAACCAAACAAGGGCGGTTTGATTCCCAGTCAAGACACGTGGGTGGGTTGCAGGCCAGTTCCCAGCAGGGCATGCACAAGACGCAACCATACATTGATATTTCTCTCACCTTCCCTTCTCCTTTAAAGATAAATTAATAAAACCTTTTTTAAAAAATGTTTAAAACATGTGTTTGTGTGATTATGTGCCTCAATCCATAAATCCACTACTGCAGCCCACTGTTTGGATAAATACAGAGATTCAAAGAAGAAAGTGACCCCAGCTAATTCTCTTCTCAGTATTTTTTAAACAATGTCTCTGCATTAAGGGAGTGTACCCACTACAAATTATACCAATAGTTACTATTTACCTAGCCCCTCCTATGGACGGGCATGGGTGCTGGTCACTTCGCATATGTGCTTTTATTTACTCCTCAGAGAACCCCTGCAAGAAAGAAATTATCTCCACCTCACAGATGAGAAAACAAAGACAGAAAGAAGATACAAGGCTGCAAAATGGCAGAGCCTGCGTTGGTCCACTTGGAAATTCATGCGCATTATATTAAGCTACAGTGTTTTGAGCTCCTCAAAGATGTACTAAAGTTTTCTCTAGGTTTCCCAAGCAGAACTATTTCTCTGAGACCAGTACAACTGTCTGTAGTAATAGGCTATCTGCACCATCAATTAATGCAGTCTTGCCAAAAGGATAGGACTGACAAATAGTAAACAATTCTTGTACCAAGGGACTATCAGAAAATGCAGAGTTAACTCAACACACAGGCACTCGGGCTGATCTTTTCCGCATCACACGAAAGTTCTAATAGGGATAATTAGCCCCGAGTTTTTCCATATTCATTTTAGTGGTATTAGATACACATTCCACCCTGCTACTTGTTGAAATATAGTCACCTCGTGCCAAAAAACAAAAAAGAAAAATCGTATTACAAAAAAGCCAAACAAATAGGTAAATAAATGTACACTTTAGGCAACACTCATCTCTTTTCCTCCAAGCTCTACTCCTTCCTGTTTCTCCAGCAGCACAGCAGTCACATGACACCTTTTCGTCCAATAAGGGAGCTGGGTCTGGAAACCAGTCCCAGGACCACAAGTGCTGGACAGTTGGCCCCAGGGAGGGAGGGGTCTGGGTGGGCTCCAAGGCCGAAGAGCTGCTGCCCTCTGTTTTCGGAACAGGCCACGCTCACCCTGAGAAGGACCAGCCCCTGCCCGCTGACACTGAGCCAGGGCAACTCCGGGCGTTAAACGGCGATGAGACTCTTTCCCTCTTATTTCTTCCCTAACCAACCAAACCACCATAACTGAACAGTCACCCTTGCCTGCAGCCACTGCTCAATCGACACCGCGTTGCGCATGGGTTCCCGGGGCTATTTCCCTCCCAGACCTCCACTCCCGGGCCTGGAATCAGTTCTGTCCTTGCCCAGTCCCCTCTGCCCTTCCACAGAATACCCCGCCCCTCCCGCCCCACCCCCCACCCCGCCTCACACCCCGTTTGTCAAGGCGGTTAATTCTCCGCGGACTACAGATCCTCTTCTCCCCCACCGCCCCCTCTTGAGACCTGGAAAAGCAGAGCATCCCCTCCCCCCGCCCCCGCACTTAATAAGTGCTGCTGGCATTCGGCTGGGACTCTGTTCCCAGCGTCCAGCGGTCAGTGCAGCAGCCACCAACAAACCGACCTCGGTCCCCTAGAACGAGTGCTGTCCCCATGACAGCGGCCAAGCTGCGCACAAAGTCCAGGAAGGATCCTCTCCATCGTCCAGCTGGTTCACGGGACCAACGACGTGCCCCTCGGGAGAGCTTGGGGCTGGAGTTAACCCTCCCGGCGCCACCGAGCAAGCCCCGGGGAGATGCCAATCCCCCAAGCACTTTGAATGTGCTAAGAGCCCAACTTCGCCCTTCTCGAGCCCCCCCACTCCCACCCCAAACTACGCGGGGCTTTTAAGCCAAAAGGAACGAACCCTTCAGCTGCCAACCGCAGCTACCGACACACGGGACACTCCCCGGGCACCAGGGAGGGGAGCGCCTAGGCCCTCGAGCCCCCGTTGCGCGCCCCCAACCCTAGGCTGCTTGGAGGGGAGGGGCCCCACCTGGCCATTGCTGGGGGTGCGTGGAGGCTGCACCGGGCTGACGCCAGAGGCACGCACTTTGATGACACTAGACTCCGAGGAAGGCGGTCTGGCCCAGCCCTGCAGCCCCACCTCCTCCCTCCAGAAGAGCCCGCGGCACCAGTCCAGCCCGCGCCGCAGGACACAAGCATGAAGGCCGCCTGGCCGCGGTTTCCGCACCAGCTGACCTGGCCCCGATGCCCCGCGGCTCCTCGGGCATCACGCCAGCAGACTCTGCAGCCAGGGGCCTGAGGGGTTCCTAGGACAGGCCCGAGGGGTTCCCAGGACAAGACCTCTTATCATGCTGTCCCCCGCACGGTTCTGCTCCCAGGGAAACAGCCGGAGGGCCAGGCGCACCTGCCGCCCACGACGCCACCTGCTGAGGCTTCGGCGAAGGACCGTGTGCCAATGGGGATCCCGGGCTCCCTTCTACCAGACCCTCCTTCGCTCTTTAGTGTTGGTTAAGTCATTCTTCCCACCGTGCTTATTGACTGTCTACTCCGGGCAGAAAGACGTCAAGACTGGGCAATGGGGGGAGGAAGAGTCTGGCATAAAAATCCCTGTTCTGCATTTAGGGTAATAGCAAAATGGAAGCACAAGTGTTTATGAATAGGTGGTTGATTTATATGATTTATAGTATGTCCCTAAAAAGCAATACAATGCACTGTAACAAAGATCAAGTTCTCTATAAAATGATATGGAATAATGTCCAGGACATAGTTTCAAGGAAACAATGCTAGGTGCAGCCTATGTATATAATATTTTTGGTGTAAGTATGAAAATAAGACTATATCTGTGCATATATGCACATATGTATATATTTGCATAAAAAATACTGGAGGACTAATCAAAATAGTGACTTACAGAGGGAGGGAAGACTGGATAGCCAGAGGCAGGAATGGAAATGAGACTTCTCTAGGTACATTTTAATATCATTTTGACTTTCAACCATGTAAATGATTGCCTGTTCAAAAGTTTAACCTAATTTAAAAGTCAACAAAAATATCTGCAAGGCTTTCAAATGTTTAAAAAAATTTCTACTCAAGAGAAAAATAAAATATCTGGGAATATATCTACCTCCTAACCAAGGAGGTAAAAGACCTGTATGCAGAAAACTACACAACATTGAAGAAAGAACTTAGGGAAGACACAAACAAATGGAAGGATGTACCATGTTCATGGATTAGAAGAATTAACTTCATCAAAATATCCATACTACCCAAAGCAATTTACAGTTTCAATGTAATCTCTATTAAAGTACCAATGACATATTTCACAGATACAGAACAAACATTTCAAAAATTTGTATAGAACCACAAATAACCCCTAATAGCTGCAGCAATTTTGAGAAAGAACAAAGTAGGAGGAATCACAATACCTGATATCAAACTGTATTACAAGGCCACTGTAATCAAAACAGCCTGGTACTGGCATAAAAACAGGCACATAGACCAATGGAACAGAACAGAGAGCCCAGATATAAACCCAAGTCTCTACAGTCAATTAATATTTGACAAAGGGGGCAGTAACATAAAATGGAGTATAAATAGCCTCTTCAACAAATGGTGTTGGGAGAACTGGACAGCTATGTGCAAAAACATGAAACTTCAGCACCAACTTATACCATACGCCAAAATAAATTCAAGGTGGATAAAAGACTTAAATATAAGTCCTGAAACCATCAAAGTCCTAGAGGAGAACATTGGCAGGAAAATCTCAGATATTTCACCCAGCAACATTTTTACTGATATGTCCCCTAGAGCAAGGGACATAAAGGAAAGAATAAACAAATGGGTTATCATCAAAATTAAAAAGCTTCTGCATGGCTAAAGAAAACAGTATTAAGATAAAAAGGGAACCAACTGTTTGGGAAAACATATTTGCCAATGATACCTCAGACAAAGGTTTAATCTCCAAAATATACAAAGAACTCTCCCAACTCCACTGTAAGAAGACAAGCAACCCAATTAAACAATGGGAAAAGGACTTGAACAGACACTTCTCCAAAGAGGACATACAGAGGATCCAGAGACACATGAGAAGATGCTCAATGTCACTAGCTATCAGAGAGATGCAAATTAAAACCACAATGAGATACCACTTTCCACCAGTCAGAATGGCCATCATAAACAAAGCAACAAACAACAAATGTTGGAGAGGGTGTGGGGAAAAGGGGACCCTAGTTCACTGTTGGTGGGGTTGCAGATTGGTACAACCACTATGGAAAACACTATGGAATTTTCTAAGAAAACTAAAAATGAATATGCCTTTTGACCCAGCAATTCCACTGTTAGGAGTATGTCCTAGGAACCCTGAAACACCAATCCAAAAGAACTTACGCACATCAATGTTCATAGCAGCACAATTTACAATAGCCAAGAGTTGGAAGCAACCTAGGTGCCAATCAGTAAATGAATGGGTCAAAAAACTATGGTACATTTACACAATGGAATTCTATGCAGCAGAAAGAAAGAAGGAGCTCCTACCCTTTGCAACAGCATGGATGGAACTGGAGAGCATTACACTAAGTGAAATAAGCCAAGCGGTGAAAGACAAATACCATATGATCTCACCTTTAATAGGAACCTAAACAACAAAACAAACAAGCAAGCAAAATATAACCAAAGACACTGAAATAGAGAACAGGCTGACAGTGACCAGAGAGGAGAAGGGAGGAGATTTCAGGGGAAAAGGGGAAGGATTCACAGTTACAAGTATAAAGGACACATGGACAAAAACTAAGGTGAGGGGATGGAAATGGGAGGGAGGTGGGGAGCACTGGAGGGGGGGTTAGATGGGAGTAAAAGACAGAAAACTGTACTTGAACAATAATTAAATAAATTTTTTAAAAATCCCTACTCGTGAAGGTTACATTCTAGTGAGGAGACATGTCATATAATAAACAAATAAAAGACATACTGCCTTGCCCTGGCTGGTGTGGCTCAGTGGACTCAGCACTAACCTGGCAACCAAAGGGCAGCTGGTTCCATTTCCAGTCACCCAGGCAGGTGGTGCACAAGAGGCAACCACACACTGATGTTTCTGTCCCTCGCTTTAAAAATAAATAAAAATAAGATCTTTTTAAAAAAGAAAATATACACTGCCTTTATGGGTTGGCTTGTGCAAGCCCTCACCCCAAAACAGAGAAATCTTATAGTCCTAACCCCAGAACCTCCAAAAGCAACCTTGTTCAGAAATAGAGCCATTGCAGATGTAATCAGTGAGGGTGGTCCTACTGGAGTAGGGTGGGCCCTCCATCCAAAATGACTGGTGTCCTTGTAACAAGAGGACAAGAGATACAGACCCAGGAGGGGAGAGGGCAGAGCCATTCTGGAGGATTTGCCAGCAAACTGCTGAGAACTGGGGATGAGGCATAGAATAGGCTCCCTCAGAGCCTCAGAAGGAATCAACCTCATCAACACCTTGACCTTGGATGTCTAGCCTCCAGGACTCTGAAACAATACACTTGTAGGGCTTTAAGCCACCCAGTCTGTGTGGTCCTTGGTTACAGTAGCCCTAGCAAACCAATACACAGGGAAGGAGCAGAAGCAGTGAAGGGTGAAGAGGCTATTGTGTTAGTTTGAGGGAGTGACGTTGGAGGCTGGGACTGATGACTTTATAGGCACTTAGGTGTCAGCTGTCACAGAGCTTCCATTCAAATGGGAAAGGCAGACAATTAAGAGTAAACAAATAAATAAGCTAATTGCACAATGAGACATGGAATAGTCCTCAGCGTTTACAGTTATCGAGATTCCCTTCACCACTACAATCATTAGTTAATGGAAAAGCCACTTCTCACCTACAGATTCTAGTTTCCCATTTAAAGCACTTTACAAATTACTTTTTATCATCAAAATACATTTTGTAAAAATTGAAACAGTACAGAGTTCTGATAAGGACAAAGTCATCTATCTCTCGGCTCCTGCAATCCCTGTCTCTGAAGTAATAGTTTAATATATAATAGTTTACTCTTTTCTGATCAAATATACACATATTCACATATGGGGTGGGGAGTTCTCACACATCTGCAAAAATAAGAAAAAGTTGTAGGAATTATTCTATAGCTTGCTTTTTCACTTACTAACAGTTCAAGACATTTTATTAAAAATAAAGGGAAGAGCCCTGGCTCGTGTGGCTCAGTGGATTGAGCATTATCCAGCAAACAAAGGTCACTGGTTCGATTACCAGTCAGGGCATAAGTCTGGGTTGCGGGCCAGATCCCTGATCAGGGACGTGTGAGAGGCAACCCATCCATGCTTCTCTCCCCCCCTTCTCCCTTCTTCCCCACTTCTCTAAAAATAAATAAAATCTTTAAAAAAAAAAAAAGAATCATCCAAAAAATAAAGGCAAGAAATACTCAAAACTCTTGTATTTTCTAATTATCTTGCTACTAGTTTTCTAGTAATGTTTACTGTTATCTATGCAGCTATTCATAAATTAGCTTCTCAAAGCTATTTCTGTGTATGGTGTCCATACAGCAGAGACCCCATATGATGAAGAGCCACTGACCATCTCTTCCCAACCTGGGGTTTGTGGGTGACGCACTGGCAGCTTGAAACTGACGGAACATGAACACCAGGGAAACCAGCAAACCCTGGGAATCAGCCACCCCTTCCCCAGAGAGCCGGTTGTTAAACCTATACCAGCACACCACTGGTAACACCTAGTTCAGAGCACTGGGAGGAGGATTGAGGGAAGTAACATTGAGTTAGATTGAGTGAAGCAAGGGAAGGCAGGGTGATGCGCTTACTGCTTACGGCCTACTCGGTGAGAACACGGGACAACAGCTTCTCCACCTACCAGCTGTGTGAAGTGAGCAGTCGCTCAACCTCTCTGGGCCTTCATCGGTAAAGGGAAAGGACACCGTGAGGAGGAACTGCACGAGTCCACGCGGAGTCCCTGTAATAACAGCGCCTGGGGCATCGTTTGCCCTTCCATGACGAGTGCTCCTTGTTGTTTCAGGAACACGGTGATTCCGGTTCACGAGTGGGGGCTCCATTTCTCATCTGTGACACACATGATGATTTAGCCGAGGAGGCTTCTTCTGCTGGAGTCAATCCAGAAGTGTGCAAAGTCCAGGGGTGCCCTCTCCCCCTTAAACTTCATCTAGGACAAGTTAAATGTGAACACGGGGCCATCTGCTCGGACACCAGGACCCACTCATAGGTCATGTGTAAGGTCAGGGGTCCCAGAGCCCTGGGAGGGTGGGTGGTGCAGGCCGGAGCCACAGATGAGCCCCTCGTGTCTGCCCTGTGGCTGCTGGTCAGAAAGATGGAATAGACGGGCAAGATGGAATTCTGTGGCGTCAGCAGAGGCTGCATCCTAGTAGGCCATTCTGTGTGAGCTATCATCAGAAAGCCGAGGCCCAGAGCAGGAAATATCACAGGGAGGAACCTGACTTTAAATTATCATCTCCTAAAGGGCAGGGGCCCTTTCTGCTTCAACCAGCAAAGTCATTTTGAATGAATGAGTTGGTTGGTATGGGGACTCTGAAATCTCGTTTTTTAGGTCTCTCTGTTTGGCAATCCATTAGGGTTGGCTTTGCCCGATGAGATCATAGTTTTGGATAAAGAAGGAAATGCGTGTGATACCTTCCATATGTTCCCACTGGCCTGGTCATCAGCCTCAGAGCCTCTTAGAATGACAGCACCTGGGCCCTATCCACAGGACACCTCTGCATTCCGGCCAAGTCAGTTACAGAGCCAGAGTTTTTCATGAGGTCACTGGTTTGCCTGCCATCCCTCACGATGCAGGTGCGAGCTGCAGGTGCGGAGGTTTCCCTGACTCCGTGGTCCCAGCTGGACAGAGCCAACCCTGGCCTGTGTCCCGCACAGCTGTGCCATGGCTGCCCTGTGGGAGGCCACCAGTGACTTCCCACTGCCAAGTCAAATGGCATTTGGGGGCTTCATTCCTCTCGGCTTCTCTTCTGCATCACATTTACCATGTCCCCTCCTGGAAAAACACTTTTTGATTTCCAGGGGGATTATATGACCCCAATTTTCCTCTGATATTTTGGTAACTGATCGGTTTCTCCAACAGCAGGTCCTGTCCTCTCTTTGCTCTGCGTGGGCTCGGGCTGGGCAGCAGCTCTGGGCGCCCTGTGCTCTGCTCCCTCCGCTCCACGACGTGATCCCCCAGGCTGCCCCTTTTTTTTTCACGCCTCTGCAGGGTGTGAGGGGCCCTGCAGCTCCCAGTGACCCTCCCCTGGCCTCACGCCTCCTCTCAGGCACCTCCTCCGTCTCCCTCCTGGCGTCTCACACAAAGATGGCCTAAGCTAAACATGGTCCCCCTTCCCGGGGAGTCCTCCTCTTAGACGTTCCTGTTCCTCAACCTACGTATGT